CCCCCCCCCCCGGCCGGGACACTCACCATGTAGAAGGCGCCCTCGGGGAGATCGTCGTGCGCCCCCGACAGGATCTCCTGGAAACCCTTGATGGTGTCCTCCAGCGACACGAACACCCCCTTGGTACCGGTGAACACCTCCGCCACCGTGAAGGGCTGCGACATGAACCTTTGCACCTTGCGAGCCCGCGCCACAGTCAGCTTGTCGTCTTCCGAGAGCTCGTCCATTCCCAGGATGGCGATGATGTCCTGCGGGCGGACGGACGGACGGACGGACGGGGGGTTGTTTGTGGGTTTTGGTCGCGAGTGGTGTTGAATTTAGGGTTGGCGTGTGGGCGAGGGAGGCGATTGTTTGATTGCGAGTTGATATGAAGAGTGGTATCAAACAACGGGGTGGGGGCACGTTGTTTGGTTGAGAGTTTTGTAAAGAGTGGTATCAAACAACGGGGTGGGGGGTGGGCAGGCGGGGGTTTGGCTGAGAGTTTTGTTAACAGTGGTGTTGAACAACGGGGTGGGGGGTGGGCAGGCGGGGGTTTGACTGTGAGATGTTGCCTTGTGCTGGACGAACCTATGGGTAGCCTGCCGTACACGGCACCACAAGTCACACCCTAGCGAAAATATCTTGGATTCTACAAAAATGATCACTGCGCCAGCTACTGTGTGAGTGTCATCGGTGTTGAATATCGCCCTAGTCTGTGATAAGAGGGTAGGGGCTCATGTTGACCCGTAGAGATACGCACCACCTGGTGTGGTATTGCGTGGGCGGGTGTGATATCCTGTGCGGGTGTGGTATCTCGTGTGGTATTTAGTATCCATCTGCAAACGATCGTAATATGTCCTTAATGCTACGGCAACTGACTGTTTGAGGCTGCAAATTGACACTACAGCGAACTAAACGAAACCATGCCGATTGTGCGATGCAGTATTCCGCTTGTTGAACAGCCGCGGAAGTTTACTTCGGTTTTACCACCACATATTTGCTACGACACTTACAAGATCCCTTCTGCCGACTCGCTTTTCAGATCAGCCTTCAAAATACTGCATGTACAACTTGACCAAAAACCTACACAACTCGTGGCAGGCTGAAAAAAAAAAGGTCCTAAAAGAAACTTCCCAAGGGGCGGAAACAAGCAATGAGGAGGAGAAGGATTCAAGAAGCCGGACGGACCTGAAGGCCCTTGTAGTCCTGGAGCAGCTTCTGCGTGGCACGGGCAGTCTCGTAGTGCTCGTCGCCGATGACGCGGGGGTCAAGCATCCGAGACGTGGAGTCGAGGGGGTCCACGGCCGGGTAGATACCCAGCTCGGCGATCTGACGCGAGAGCACCTGATATGATACCGCGTTGAATATTGGTCGGATTGGTTGACGATCATTGGCGGCGAGGGACACGGGAAAAGCACGCGCGCGCGGAGCGGGGGTGAAGGACTGGGTTTATCATGCAACAACAAAAAACACAAAACAACTGCAGTTGCGGCGGGAGTCCCCATTAGTTACGCATTGTAGATTCTATAGTGTACACTTAAAACAAACAGGGGCTTTTGCTGCCGGTCCAATCGAAGCCTCTGTGATCCACGAGAAAGTCGGTTCGACGCCACGCCCAACACAGGCAAGAGCCCCAGTGTTTTTTTTTCCTACAGCAGACAGCCTAGACATGGCTCTGCTGAAACAAAACGACAGCATGAAAGCGCGACATTATTTTTGACTCCAAGAAGGAAACCCGTCGAAAACTACGCACACGTTTCTGAATATTGAAAGAGAGGGTTGACTACGCCAATTGACAGAGGGCAACACTGCCGTTGTGAGAAACACTCTCAAAACAACGCCGGCAGCACCCATGCCTCACGGTCGCCCCTGCCCCCTTGAAACCATATTACCCAAACCCCACATAGGCTACACAAGATAGATATCAAATACTTCAAGTAGTTATATATGGCACGTATGATAAGAAAAAAAAAGCTCTCAGTGGTCTTTTGTACAGCGTCGCGTCTTCAAGTGCCCTCCTCCCACGCACCCCTCCCCCCGCTTTGCAGCGGGCTGGGGGGTGGAGGCGGAGGGCTATGTACAGTCCGCCCGACGTATCTATCATCCTTGAGCTCTTGAATTCTCACCAACTACCACCACACCAAACAAAAAATAAGAGACCGCGAATTTCCGGTTTACGTACGGAGATGAAGGGCTATAATATAATACCACCTTTCGCATGATTACACACCCTCCGAAGGAGATCAAACTGGGGTGTGTGTTTATGCTTTGCGACAGTTTCCAACGCGAAACCTCTCTCGCCACCACGTGCAACGTGCTTGATACAAACAATCCACCTCACCGGGACTGCAATTAATGTTCCTCAGGACACCACCTCCCCCCGTCACTACATACGGTACTATTAAAGGTTTTATTCACCCCGTGTGGCATTCTTAAACCGAGGAGGTGGGGGGGAAGGAGAGGTGACGGTTCAGTAATAAACTCACGGTGGTGGCGTCCAAGTGAGCGAAGGTAGTGGCCGGCGCGGGGTCGGTAAGGTCATCAGCAGGCACGTAAACGGCCTGAACGGAGGTGATGGATCCTTTGTTCGTGGATGTGATGCGCTCCTGAAGAAAAAACAAAAAAAGCAGCGGAACACACAACCGAAATAAAAGTTCAGGTGAGGTGGTGTATGGGTTGGGCAAAAGAGCGAAGGGCGCGACACGAGTATAGGCGTAGAAACCCACCACTTGCTAATTCACCTGATCGTTTAGACGCGCGCGACACACAAAAAATACAGTACCCTGGAAGCACCATGTTGGCAAGCTCACCCTCCTCGAGGAAAAAGTCTCATGTGACCAAACCAATAATACATGCCCAGCTTCTTGTGCTCAACCAATCCATCCCTGTGCGCAACGCAAGCAATTTCGCCAGCTCAGACTAGTCCACCCCTTGAGCACGCACAAGCATGACCGCCTGACTGACCTGGAGCATGCCCATGTCGGTGGCGAGAGTGGGCTGGTACCCCACGGCGGAGGGGATACGTCCCAGCAACGCCGACACCTCGGCTCCTGCCTGGGTGAAACGGAAGATGTTATCCACGAAAAGAAGCACGTCCTGTCCCTCGGCGTCCCGGAAGTACTGCTCAAACAAAAAAAGGGTGCAAAAATGGGGGGGTTGGAAGGTTGGGTACGTCTGAAATGCGCGTCGCCACCGGTGGGGTCTTCAGCAGGCGTTCGACAAGCAACAAGCTACAACAAACAGCAGCACCAGCGATTAAGAGAGAGTAGGCATCCCGTCCCTCGGCCGTCTCGCGAGTACTGCCTGCACCGAAAAATGACCAAAACTTGGCGTCCATTGTAGTGAGAGTTGATACATGCACAATTTCGGCGTGTTCAGGCCTTCGACGAACACCGCCAAACAACAGCAGCACCAGCAGCACCAGCAGCAGCGATCGTATCTTCAGAGAGTATCTGACGAAGAGCACGTGGACGGGACGTGACGCACCTCGGCGATGGTGAGCCCGGTCAGGGCCACACGGGCACGAGCACCCGGGGGCTCGTTCATCTGCCCGTACACCAGGGTGGCCTTGGAGCCCTTGGTGGAGTCCTCGGTGATCTGACGAAATTAATAAACCCCGAGAGAGAGGGCGAAAGAGGACGGGAGGGTGGGGGTGGGGATGGGGGGAGGCAAACGAATGAGTCACGACCCAAAAAAACAGAACAAGAGGCCATGTCAGGGTAACGGCAGAGCCCCACCTACTCAATTGTCTAGAAGTGTCCGCCAACACTGCACACAAGGAACAAGAATAAACGAAACTACGCTACAAGGGAACATGCGTGTCAGCGCGGGTTCGCGACTCTGACCACATCAACACCGAGAGAATTGGACGCAGCAGACTCAGCAGTTCCCCCCCGGCAAGTGACGTTCAGCAACAGAACGGGCAAGGCAACAATACGGAAAAGACGGCGAGGATGCTGGCTTACAACACCACGTGTCCGAAGTACGGTGGTATCCTCGTCTGCACGTTCAACACAGCACGCCAGACCTCGAGGGAAAAGCCCACAAAATCTTTCTAGAAACCTGATGCCGCTAAATCTAAGACATTGCTACGCGTACGACTCTACAGACGTTACCATACAACAATACAGAGGCAAGCTTGGCTCGAAAACCACAGCGAAGACAATACAATACAAAGGCACACACACAAACAAAATAACTACCTTCGCTCAGCTCGTTGACGCCGATCGCTTTCAGCATGATGCTGTCAGAAGTCTAACATGTTTGATAAACTGCATCAGCGCGAAGGTAGGTATCATCCCGCCGGGGTATATGTTTCACCTCTTGTCTTACACCCTCCGCACCCGGGCAAAGACACTCCGCAAAAATCAACAATCTTCGCACACGCAGTTGCGCTCTTTCGATGGTGGAGGGGGCTCAAGGTATCGGTTCAGTTCTAATGTTCGTGTTATCAGCAGTCGTTTTTTCAGATACTGTCTAGCCGATTAGAATCATCATGACCGCTACAAGAAAAGCAGTACCATCGACAATATCAAGTGCCCCCTCTTCTTCCGAGCCCCCGCCACCCTTTCATGAAACTTTATTCCTGGGCGACCGTAGTCTTCAGAACAGCAAGCATGCTGGCCAGCAAAACCAGAGGACACTCATGTATCAATAAACCCTCGAGCTCAAGTTTCCTCCCTTGCCTTGGCATACCCAGTCCGATCACCTCACGAAACATAGCGAAACAGGCCCTGCTGTCCTCATTTTTGCAGCTTTTGTCTGTACAAGGCGAACACATACCTCACACAAATAAAAACAACTACTTCCACCAACATACATCCCTTGCCTTGACACCACCAGTCTCGCACAACCTCACCCAACACCTGAAACCAACATGAAAACTTCTGCTTCTTGCCTACTTTCCTTCCCCACTATCGTATATCTTGCCTTGATAACGCCACCCTCGATCATTTCGTGGTACAAGTCGTTACCCTCGCGGGTGCGCTCCCCCACGCCGGCGAACACGGAGAAACCACCGTGGTTGGTGGCAATGTTGTTGATGAGCTCCATGATAACCACGGTCTTCCCGACGCCGGCACCGCCGAACAGACCGATCTTTCCGCCCTTGGCGTACGGGGCCAGGAGGTCAACCACCTTCGACGTTTCGTTGCCACGAGAATCACAGAGAAATGGAGAATTAGAGGGAGAGAGAGAGAGAGAGAGAGACAGACAGAGATAGAGAGGGAGCGAGAGGACTTACAAGAACAAATGACGAGACAGAAGGAAGAGAAATCCACGTGCTGCAACCGGGGATGACGATGCTTAATGCGTCCATGTTACATGTTACCAAAGGGGCACCAGGCCTTGCGGGAAACGGCAACGTTACTGTACTCTCCGTGTACCAGCGATACCGTACCGTGAACCAGACAACGAGCATTTTCCCGTCAGCATTTTGCAAGGAAACCCACTACAGTGGGTGGCCCGATATAATGCCGGTTGCCGGTATAGTGCCGGTGTTTTCGGCTCGCACACACCGGAATATCAAGTCTTCCTGTACTCTGAATAGTGCCGGTGCCCGGTATAGTGCCGCTTTGCTCTCTGAACACATACCGGCACTATAGAGGGCCCCCTACTGTACTGGCTGTACACAGCACACATACTGAGCATACATACTGCATACCTTGATTCCGGTGACGAGGATCTCTTGGCTCTTGCCCTGCTCCTCGAAGGTGGGGGCGGAGTTGTGGATGGGCGCCTGCATTTCCCAAACCAGACGGTCAGCCGAGGGAGAAAAACAGAAACAGGACACAGGCAAACGCAGACAAAAAGAAACAGACAAGTGGGTCATTTCCTTGGAGCTATCGGTCCCACGGGACGTGGGTCATGGGAGAGACGGACGTCTTGTGGGACATTCGAAGCCGGCATTACGACAGGCGCTGGGTCTGTGGCGAACGCGGCAACTACCACATGGCAAGAGGAAACAGGAACAACGCAAGCACATTTTCTTTCGTCTCCAGGCGGTCCTAGGCATTTTCTGTGTTGGTTCGCGACAACCAAATCGACTGACAATAGTCGCGTCTTCCGTACAAAGACGGACGGCTCAGACAAACACACGACGCAAGACACAGCGCGCACGCGTGCCTTGTCCTGAGAATAACATAGGATGCATACGCATACACATATTTCGAAAAAAACGCATCGCAACAATCTTGGCCCCTGGTCTTGCATTGTTTTAGCTTCCGCATGCGAAACAGGTGTGACTGCTGTACAATCTTTCGATCGTTTTCTTTTGCTTTCACCTTGGCCTTGGAGTTGATTGGGCCCCTCTCGTCCACGGGCTCCCCGATCACGTTCATGATGCGTCCGAGAGTCTCCTGACCCACGGGCACCATGATAGGCGCGCCGGTGTCCGTGCACCCCTGTAACACAACAAAAACAGAGCGGCATGATATATTGTTGTAGAAACACAAAGTGGGACTTCAAACTTTGTATGGTCGCACCTACAACGCCACGAGGAGGTAGGTCATGTTCACAAGCGTTGCTTCCGACACGGCAACAGGCCTTCTTCTGACACACGGCCGGACAACAAATCCTCGTGACGAAAACTTTATCCCGAGCTGTCTCTCCACGCTGTGGTCGTAGTTTCGTCTTGCGCTGCACCTATCGCTGTAGGCATGATCAACCATATTATGCACATTCTCTACAAGTACTACTGCTGTACTGCTGTATGCATTGTGCACAGACATGAGCACGACGTCCGCACCCAGATTCCTGTCATGTTGTGGCTAACGCTGTCTGTCGGTCGACAAGCCATCTTTTGGGCGGGTCCTTAGTCGATGCACTAGCTGCCGTGAGATCCTTCTATTCGTAGATGTGCTGCCTCGCTTGCTTGAAGGTATTGCAGTGCATATCGTGGACATCGTAGATACCTGTCCACGAGTGAGCCCCTCGGTGGCCTCCATGGCGATGGTGCGGACGGTGTTCTCTCCCAGGTGCTGTGCCACCTCGAGCACCAGTCGCGATGCACCATCGGCCACGTTCACCTGATCAAAAATCACATCCATCGGTTGACGTTGCTGTTCAGATTTACTTCAGAGCTATTTTTTTTAACGCCACGCCCACACAAGCCATGGCCACATGAAACCGACGATGGGATTGGGGAGCGTTTCGATGGCCTGCTGTGAATAAGTGGAACTTGGGGGCAACACTGAGCGGCAGCAGCCTGGACTCCTCTTGTACGTCAAACACCATCGGTGTCAACTCATGATTGGTCTTGACTTACTGCGTAAACAATGGCAACAGCAGGTGGCTCCCCTGGCATCTACGCTTTGTCTCGCCCGTGGTTGCAGACTCAAGGCACGGCGGTGGAGCAACGCTGGTTTTACTATTCTTCCGCCTGCCCAATAGTCGTTAGACGGTGGTTCTACATCACGTAGTACAGGTGCAATCAGTGCAAACAAAAGTGCACTGCTTGATTTTGACTAACGGGCCTGTACAAAACACAAGTCCGGAACAGACGAGAGAGGGGAGGTTGGGGTTCCTGCGAGCATATACATAGCACCTTCTAGTGCGATCCGCGCAAAGCGCTGAGCAACCAAAGCACAAACACCCGCGTCGATTACAAAAACACAAAGCCTTACACACCGCACAGGTTGTTCACAACCGCGGTCATATACGATGATGCACCTCGAGGGCGTTGAAGATGGGAGGCAGGTCCTTGTCGAACTGCACGTCCACAACGGCACCGATGACCTGGGTCACGCGCCCGACGGAGCCTGCCTGGGCCAGGGCGGAGGCGTGGAAGCTAGACCGTCCAGCTGCACAAACAACAACAGAGCACGCGCCGCCCACAGGGGAGGTTAACACACACAACTGGGTTGGGACATCTGTGTGAGGTACGGCAAAATAGTTAAGGGAACCCAGAGAGAGAGAGAGAGAGAGAGAGAGAGAAAGAGAGAAAGAGAGAGAGAGAGAGAGAGCTGCCGCGTAGCAGCAACAGTGAGAGAGGCATGTTGCCGCGTGTGCACACAGGCCAGAATGGTGTGTGGACGAACGTAAAAACGTTGACCGGTGGTCTTGTTCTCGCATCAGGTGAGGAACAAGAAACGGTGTCCTGTGGGGTGCGAACTCTCGCCGACGGTCTGCGGCGCGCGGAGCTACAAGCGAAACCACCGATGGCCACGATCCGGCGGCCCCGAGATGCATAGCAGAACCATATCATACGCGATGTGTTGAGACGTGAATGCAAGAAGCAGGAGTTCTGCGGTAAGCAATCATCAAGACATTTGAGCCACAGGGAAGAACGTTTACGAGACGGTGGTTGCCCTCGTCGTACAAGTGCAAAAAAATAACACCACCACTGACACTTTTGAGGAGGGAGTATGCTCAGCAAAAACACGTGCTGTCAAACCTAGGCAGGTCCCGGAATGCAATGGTCGAAAGTCCGAACGTGCACTAAAGCTTGCCGCCACATGCCAACGGTCGGCAGCAGCTCCAGCAGACACGCGCTGTCATAAGCTGGTCTTTCTTCAGGGAGAGAGAGCCGCACGAAAAGGCTCCCGCGCGCGGGTGTGTCGTGTCGTGTGCCTGGCAAATTTTTGGGCCTCCAAACATTCCGTGCTGTTCTTCGGAGAACAGGGGGGTGCAACACGTGGGCAAAGCAACGGGAATGCTCCAGGTGCAGTAGCCAACCTAGCGCGCAGATGAGTCAATACCTCCAGTCCAACACCGTAGTGGTGTGTGGGCATTCCGCGCATTGCAGCGTTCCGGCAAGGCCAGGCGGGTCTGTCTGTTTCGTGATGGTGATTTTCGGTCCGACCTTCGTCTCTGCGGCGGGCAGGCTGTACCCGGCGATCAGGGGAGATTTGGCGTCTCAACGCGAGGGCGCTGGCGCGCGAGCCAAAATCGGAAGGATGCTACCCTTGAAACCCCTCGACTTGGCGCGCGCACACACGAAATTGCGCAGGTGGCGGGCTCTACCCCGCCCCCAACTCGGTCGTTGTGCACAATCGAAGGTTCCTAACAACCCTCGCCGAGAACCACGCAACATAAACGACATAGAGATTTGCCTCGCGAAGCAAACGGAAGCCAAAGTGAGGACAGCGGCAAGCGCAAGGCACGCAGACAAAAGGACGCATTATTCCCGTCGCACTCACCGGCCACTGGTGCCGCCAGGGCCCTCTTGGCCACGGTTGCCAATCGAAGAGCCATGTCTCTTGTTCCTTCCCAACGAGAGGTCTAGCTAACTGCACCAGAGAGAGAGGGAGACTTCTCTACTTGGTGGCCGACGACGTCGCGCGCAAAACAAAAACGCCTCCTTCGGTGATGTGATGATCGTTCGCGGCTTTTGGAAGGTCCGGTTGGGTTGGACACAGCAAGAGCAGCAGCGGCAGCGACAGCAGCAGAGACACGTAGCGGTGTGGCGAGAGACAGAGGGACCGCGCTACAGACTTCGTGCTGCACACAAAAGCCGCTGAGAAAAGATGCTGGGACTTGCTGCCAGTCGCGTGGCGGGAGCGGCTAGGCCGGCGCTCCGAACAGCGAGGTATATAAAGTTGCAGCACCCCCCTCCCCGGACAGTTGGAAGGGTTGTGTATGTTCCCGCAAAGCGCGCAGCATGTGCGGCCTCACTTTGGATAAGCAGGGACGAGCAAGATAGATTGGTGGTGCCAATGAGTTGGGATGCTTTGCAGAGTCGATGCGTTTGCTCGACACCGTTCCAAGCATCTGGAACTTGGTGTGCTTGCTGGCTAGAGGTGGTGTTCTGCTGGCTTTGCTGGCGTGAGCGGCGTATATGGAGTCTGCAACAGAAATAGCTGCCAAGGCTGTGTGTGCTCTGTGCTAAGTGCATTCGCGTGGGACCCCTTGCTTTGATTTGGCGTCACGGCGCACCTCTGTCGACATGCGTTGGACTTTCCATCGTACACGACATGGCAATGTACAGCAGACGTACTGTACGCCGTCGCTGCTGTACGAATCCAATGCAACTACTGAGCGTGTACCTTGTTTCGTCCACCTCCGTGCAGGTGTATCGCCAAACCCCTCTCGCTGATTGGCTCATCGTGCAACACCATTCATGTAGCTCCTTTTTGTATTCGCATACTCCGAACATCTTCGCTGCCGATATTAGAAGATCGCAACATGCATTGTGTCTTGTAGCGCGTTGGTGACCCCGGTTCCTGTTTGTGCGATACCTGTGATTCATCATCCCCGTCCGCAACCAGGTGTTTTTCCACAGCCGAGGCGCCCGCAGTGATGAAGCTAAACTTTTGCCTGCCGCACGAGACTATCTACAAGGACAAGGATGTCGACCAGGTGAGTGCACCGCACAGTCGTCGCGCATGCCGCACTCGTCCCAACGGACGCTACACTGCTGGTGGTACCTAATTGTTCTCTTCCTGTGGGCATGGGGCATGTAGGCCTGTTCTACAGCAGTCAACAGGGAGGCATTTGGGGGGGGAGACGGGTTGCTGCTCGTGCCGGGATAACTCTCAACGGTTCCCAAAAATGAATAGACTCGACGGCTAGATTTGCGCGATGGAAAGATCGGTATTATTGCCGGGATTATCCCGAACGACAGCAAAACAAGCAGTAGTACCGTCCGTGGTGCCATTGACATGCAACATCCAAGTCCCACGAGAGACGGCGTGGGTGTTGTTCCCCATGCAGAACTGCAGCACACTGCGTCTCCCCCGATCGCTTCACGAGCCGGAAATCACGTACCAATCTCTGGCGAGAAAGCCGCTTTTCAAGTCCAGTGTTCGCCCTCGGGTAAAACCAGACGCCCTGCACAACAACAGCTAGTACATCATTCCCCCACCTGCTGTGTCCGACTGTACAGCTGGTGACTTTGCGACCTTCATTTTGCAGACGACACGGATTTTTCCTGGTTCGCATCATCTCGCCGCTCTCACCCATGCTTGCTCCAGCTGATTCCGGAGCGAACGATTGACTCTCTTGCAAACCAAATGGTCAACCATATCTTCTTTCACCTACCCCACTCGCCCCTTCGGCGGCCAGGTGATCATCCCAGGAAGCGCGGGCGAGTACGGTGTTACCGCCGGGCACTCTCCCATCGTCGCGGAGTTGAAGCCCGGCGTGGTTCAGGTTGTGCATGAGGCGGTGAGTGCCGTATTTGCGTACGTTTTTTGTGCTCGCTGTCGACCGAATAAATTCCTCGTGGGCCATCCGGCTGCGGTCTCTGACGTTCCCCACGCGAGATTCCGTCGCCGATTTAAAGTGACCGTGCCGTGGTCGAGAAGTCCTGTGTGTCTATTGAGCCCGGCGGTAACCTTGCGTGTTGGCGCTGTGGTGACGATTGCTGGGCACGCCGAGACGGTAGTGGCGACGCCCGTTGCTACCCTTGCACGAGATCTTGGGCCGAGGTTGTCGCCGTCCGGGAGCACCCATCTTGCCTTGTTCAGAGCCTTGTTCCGTGTCGATCTCTCTCGAGTGAGAGATAGACTGTATCGCATGTTGGTTATCCGCGCCTTGGCATGGATCAGCATTCTCTACTCTGGATTGCCCTGGCACCTCAAAATGGTTCCTTTCGAACCATCGAGCCCTTCTTTTCTACGGGGGAGCATGTGTTCGTCGTCGGTCGTTCCTTTTGTGAACCCCCGATGCCCCTCGTTGTTCGACGGGGTGTTACTCTCTCGACTCGCGTTGCCCGGCGACCCATCGCTTCGGCGGCACAGGGGCAGGAGCCTGAGAAGTTTTTCGTGTCCGCTGGGTTTGCTCTGACCCACCCCACCTCCGTCACGGACATCACTGCTATCGAGGCAGTCAGGGTAGAAGAAATCGATGAGGGGGCGGTGAGTTGTTACATGTTGCTGTCGTGTGTTGTGGTTGTTGTTTCTCCTCCGTCCTCATAAATGCAGGTGGACCGTTTTGGCCCCTTTCGCAGCATTCTCCGTTTTTCTTCCTCACCATACTCCCTTGAGTTTTTTATCGTGTATGCACGCCTCCCGCTTTTTGTGTGATTTTCTTCAAAGAACGTTCTGATTTGTCCAGCACTTTGTCAATTTTCAGCTCCTCGTCTTACACCTAATCCAGTGCTCTCTCG